AGTTTCTGGTGCTTTTTATTTAAAGCGTCGATTAACGTGCAGCTGGGGAGGCAGTCATAGAAAGGAAATGAAGGGGGGGAAAAAAATATATATATATATATAAATCTGTCAACAGTGGTATCTTGCGCCTCGGTTGGGATCGCTGCTTACCGCAGGGAAGTCCTGCTGGTTTGAAATTGCCTTCACCTCCTAGGAAACCTGGAAAAAAGTGCTGCCCTAGCTCACGCTGCTGTTTAGGCGAAACTAGAAATTAAATAGGTTCAGGATTTTCTTTCGAAATGCCCTCTCGGATAAACCGGTTCACGTGTGGAAATAGCGTCTGTTGCCCTCGGCTTCGACTTTATTTTTTTAAGTCTTTAGGTATCCGACTCGGGTTGAAATCGGTGCCTGGCATCTGAACAGTTCTGAAAACCAATCCTGTATTGTTTTGAATTAAAACGGAAATATTTTTCTGCCATGGGGCCCGCAGCCCTGGGGGAGAGGAAGGGCAGATGCGTAGGGAGCGTCACTTCTTCATTTGCTGCAGCTAGGCTTGTCCAGTCTCACAGGCTGGAAAACTAGGTATTTGAAAAAAATTAAGTGGCCTAGTATTTAGTAACTCATACCATCAAACCTCGTGTTTTATACTTGAAGGCAGAAGAAGCCGAAAGCGCTGTGCACATCTCTGCTTTGTTGGAGGCAGGGCGGCGGAAGGTGTCCGTGGCAATTTTATCTATTTCTGTGATGTTTTTGTTTACCTTCAAAGGAATCTGCATCCAGACTTTCTTGACTGGAGACTTGTGGCTTCGTACAAGGGAAGGAGGAATCATCCTCAGCATTTCATTTAGGGTGCGGCCGATTTATTGGAAGAAAACCAAAGCAAAACCTGGGCTAGCTGCTACCCATACGCTCAAAAATTTAACAAACAAAAAAAACCACACAAAGCTCCTCTCTTCTGTAGGCCCTCTGAACTGAGAAGGCCTGCTGACTTGTATAGCACCTCTGTTAGTATAACAGAATGTAGCACATTAGCACCGTGCCTAATTATCACGACACTAGTCAGTAGCAGCGCTGCTGCAGACATCGGATACAGAGGAGGAAGCCCTCTAAGAAATATGTGGCTGTATCGCCATCCTTCTAAAGATGCGTGGCTGTTATGTTTGACTTCTCCCCTACCATATTGGTCATTCTCTTACTCTTTGCTCACTAAGTCATTCTCATAGTATTTGGAGTGTGAAGGATGACGTGAAACGTTTTAATTCGATTCTCAGATGAGGAAGAGCAATTTACATTTTTTTATTTAAAAAAATAATACCCCGTGGTTGGGAATTATGCAAGCCTTCTGCACGTTACTTGGAAGTGTATAAATATAAAAGCCTGGTTCAGCTGCTTCTTTTTTTTGTAAAATGAATGCATTAAAGTGCAAATGTAGTTGAAAATCAATTGTTCTGAGACTGTTTCTCATTGTTATATGCCTTGGAAATATGAAATTACTTCATGACAACATATTAATTAATCATGTTTGCTCATGCAGGCTGCTTTGTCTCCAATTCGCAGCTCATTAGAAGGTATGTAACTCTTCAGTCGTGTTATTTAACAGGTATGTTCTCATGGTGCTATTAATGCCCTCTAGACTGAGTAATTCCTGGCACAAGAAAGATTTCAGAGACTATTAACATAGAAGTCTGTTGTATGGAAGTCTAGACGGAAGTCTGTTCCCATGGGTATTGCACACATTGGGTCATGTAACACCTAATAATAACCTTGCCAATCTCTATTTTGGACTCACCTCCTAGGAGGCCTGTAAACTTCACACAGATAGCCAAATCACTGTCCAGACATGTTTTCAGGTGGAAAAAGAGGACAGTTTGGAAACACCCAGATGTAAGTAGTTCCAGACTTTCCTCATCCTCCTAGATACAGGCAATACCTGCTAACTTGATGCTGTCAGGAGATGTCATCGGTGGTGCATGCTTGCTTTTGCGGTGGTTGTGAATAAAAGCATGAAACAACATTGGAAGAAAATGCTGATCCTTGTGGAACTCTGCCAGTAATGCCTTGGCAGCGCGATACATTTTCAACAGTTATTCGGTACTAGAAATTACTTACAGCTAATATTTTGTATCCTAGCCCTAATTCTTGAAGGAGCTCTGCAGAGGACTGCCTGCTTAGAATGGATTACAGGATTAAAATCTTAAGTGTTTGTCCTTTTTGTTTTTCCTAATAATTGTAATATCACAATTTCTCATCACAAGGTGTGGGAGGAACTAGAGTGCTTTAAAATTAGAAATGCAGCGTGCATCTTTGAAATCTGAAATAATAGATCTCACATATATGCAAAGGAATTGTAGTTAATATGATTAAATTCTGTTTCCATGCAAGAGTCTGTAAAGTAGCAGAATGCCCTGAGTATTTTAAGATTGTATTGGCTGTTTTCTTTCCTCCTAGAATGTTACATGAGTATGGAAGACTTTTGCAAAACTAAGGGGTGTTACATTTAAAGTATTTGAAGGATTTGAAAGTCCTGCCAAGAGGCTCAAATGATCTTTAAATTTTGGATGCTGCCTTTTTAATGTTCAGTGTTTGTAATAACTAGCTCCTGCAATTACACAACCTTTATTTTGAGCACAGGAAAAGGGGCTCCAGTACTCCCATATTGAAGGCAGTCTAGCATAATGACCAGTCTTGAAAATCTGATCTTTTGTTTTTTGTTTTTTAGGGTTGAAAGCTTAGGTTAAATTCTGTCCCACTGACATCAGAAGTGGAGCTAGAATGATTGCGGAGGAATCTGAATTTCACTGTTGAAGTTTGATCACGTAGGCGTTGTCAAGCGGACTCGCAAAGAAGTTGAGCCAGGTATTTTTATAATGCGGTTACATCATCTTGTTCCCTGAGATTTCCAGTAATCTTGCTAGTCCTCTGTATACAGCAATGTGCTGATTTCTATTAAATCATTTTAAGCTGAGAGTAGTTCTAGTGAAATGGTGTAACATTATTCTTTAAAACTGTTGAATCAGTTCCCTGAGTCTTTGGTTCTCTGTATGGGTAAAACCTTGAGTGAAAAATTAGACAGTGAAGCTGCAAAGAGCAGTTGCAATTTTGGCTCACTGCACAGGAGGGTGCTCAGCCTCTGTCTTTATTTGTATGAAAGAGCAATTCCCATGCATGGTATTTAGAATGAAGTTCAAAAGCTGGCATCTGAAGTGGTCTTTTCTTGTAGTGACATTGAAAAATCTGTTAAATATAATTACACTTAAAAACACTCAGCTGGTAAAGAGAATTTTGGAAGGTGTCTGTTAATTGCTGTTATAAGAGCTGCTTGCAAAGGTATTTAGGTCAGAAAATGTGCTGTGATGATCATCTACTGTGTAAGACATTAGTATTTGCTAATGGGTGTGTTTAAAGGTATCAGAATTTCCAGTAGAAGAATCTTTGAGGTTTCTTTTTTTTTTTTTTTGGCCATCTGCCTAATGTGTCAATCTGAATGCATGAATCCTTGTGTGAATAGTCCTATTGAGTAATGACTTCTCATGTAAGCAGAAACTTACTCTGAGTCGATTTGTAGGAAGAGGTAGGTTTGTTTAACTTGTATTCGATCTGCAATACCTGTTTACAATAATCTCCTTAAATAGTGATTATTTTCCCTGGTAAATATTAACATTTTAGGTTCAGGAAACGAATGAATGTTCTTTTTAACAAAGCTCACAATCAAAACAGAACTATTTAAAAGTTGTATTGGCCTATTAAATTAGATTAGTTTTTTAAAACTAATCTAAAGGAAAAGGGTTTGTTTGGCTTCTGTGACACATTGTTAATTGGAGTGAAGGCAGTTTTACTGAAGCTGGTTCTATTAGTACCTCAGGTTGAGGTATTACTTAGTATAAGTAATTTTTTGACTAGTTTTGTGTACATTCTGATAGGGTGGCAATCTTTAACTAACAAGAGAAAAAAAGTTTACTTTGGGCGGTTTTAATGATTAAGATTGCTAGCCATCAAAAGTTTTGTTTGACTGAATGTAACCTAAACAAATGAGATAAAGAACATTCTGGCATTAGTTACCCCTATGCACATAAGAAAAATTTTGGTTTGTGAGTGGCTGAAAAATATTATATTGGTAACATTCTGTCTACCTTTTTAGAGATCAGTTAAAGAGAGGTCTTGAATGTTGTTGTCTGGTTCTGATTTTAATATGTAAATTGATGCATTCTGTCCGTTTGAAGAAAGTTTGTCGAGAAGTCTGTCTTTACAAGTTACATAATTCTGGCCTTCTGAATGCATCTCCATTTTAGTTGCTAAGGAAAAACAATTGCATTTTTTAAAAAACGTTACCATTGTAGAATGATTTCCTGATGCTTCCGTTCAGAACTCTCAGAATAAATATCATCACAGAAGTATGGCAGGCAAAATCTTGTCTGCCATGTTAAACAGAATTTTGTCCCATTAACATCAGTACATAAATATTTGCACTTCAGTCAATATTTACCTCACTGGTCAATAACATTGTTTTGCACCTCACAAAGTTAATGTTTACTTATTGTTTTTAGTTTGGTGGTCATATACAAAATTCCATGTTTCTAAGAATATGGAGGGTTTTTTACTCCGTTGCTAACAAAGATTTTATGTTAACAGATGTATATTAATTTATTAGGAAGTCTTATCCACAAGTAAAACGATGTTCATCATTTAATAAGATTCCCAAAATCAAGAATACAACATTTTACAAGCATAAAAGGGATAACTTTTGAAAATATGGGCAAACTGAGGAAATGTATTACTGAATTAAAAAAAAATTGCATAAGCCTGTAGAATAGGAATTGCACATCTTTTTTGTGTGTGTGTCTGTACTTGCTTTTACATTTTTACAGTCAAGTTCTCTGGCAGAGGAAAATCTGCTGTGCATGAACTGATGATTCAGTAGTTTGTTTTTAAAAATTTCTTGCAAAAGGTAAAATCATTAGACTGAAGGAGAACCTCAGATGCAATATGTAGATCTTGGCTCCCACAAATTTTACTGGGAGTTAAATTTGGATAAATCTTTCACATATCCTGAGGAAATACTTGTCATCTTTTTCAAGCACTTAATTTCTTACACAATCTGACTTCCCGCAAAAGTTTGTGGGACTCTGGCTTGTTTGTGCGTGGAAAGTTTAAGCTTCTTTTCCTGGAAATAGAAGTAAATAACAGGAGTGGAGTTTTTGCTCTTCCAGTGGTCTTAATGCAGAGTAAAGGAATTGCTGAATTTATTTTTCAGTTCAATGGTATGAATTTTCTTAGAACTCTGCAGTGGATTCTGTGTTGTTTTGTTTTTTTCTTAACTGTTGTCATTCTGAAAATTTGGACTTAATGGTCAAATATGTTAAAAGAGAAAGAAGAAATGCAGGGGATGGGGTGGAAAGGAAAGCTTTAAAGTCAGCCATAATATTTTGCCTTTATCTGATGCTATTGCTTTCATCTTTGCTCCTCTTCAGATTTTCAGTATAACTTGAAGTTTTTGAAGTTTCTCATCTGGTAGTAGGTGAGCACTGCCTGGATCTTCAGTTCAGAAATGCTGGACTATGCTCAGGTGCTCAACCAGAGCCCTTGCTCACATTTTAGAGGTGTACTAGAAGTGAGCGCTGGATCCTTTCAGAAGCTCACAGACACACAGTTCTACTCCATGTCACTTCTCTGTGCTCCCTTTATTTCCTCCTCTCTCCCCCGCCACCCCCGAAAAAGACAAATGTGTCTAGGATCTCTTATTAGGAAGTGCAAAAATCCTCCCTGCTTAAACATTGGTATTCAATTCATGTTTAAATTAATACATGATAGTATTTCTTCTTACAAATATCCTGTACAAGTCAATACATGATTGCTGAAATCGGCTAATAGCCTAAACACAATTGATTTGAATTAACTAAAACTCGAAGCTATTTATTGCAAGCGTATTATAAGTCAATAGAGACAACTGCTATAGTACAAAATGTGACACTAAAAGATTTTTCTAACACTGAGAAGCCAACATACTCTACTACTTTTGATTTCTAGTAGTGGGAGTGCCAGACGTTAATAACTAAAAAGTGGCATTAGGAGGAACTTCCCAACTCTCTTTTATGTATTGATGGAAAAGCTTGCATCAGGTTGGAATAAAAGCAGGCATAGCCTGCTGAATAGGATTTTCATAGGCCAGACCTGCTTGCAGCTAAGTTAGTCTGGCATTAACTTAGTTGGGGATGCCGTCTGAAAAAAGAACGTGGAGTGAAGGTGCTTAACTTGAACTTAAAAAACTAATAATAAATGGAAGGTTGACAGGCCTTTAATTAAAGTAAACAATGCATTCAGAAAAGCAACAAATACTAAAGAAGTCAAGAGATTGGGCACAGATTTTGAAGTAAAATCCTTGCGGTGGGGGGAAGATTTTACTTTTTAATGCAGCTTTACTGTATTCATTAGCACAGTATGCAACAAACATATCTCTAATACAAATCTCTAACCGCGTCTAACTTTTTTTCTTTTATGAAACGATCACCGTTGACTCTCTACTTCTGCCAGGGTTTGTAGATATGGCAGAAACAATGTCGACGGTGATTTTCAAGGAGGCTTTTTGAGTCTAGAGGCAAAGGTATGCAACTTTTCCTTCATTTTAGCAAAATCATAGATAAAATTGCATCTGCAAAAAATGAGTGAAACATTTTCAGATATGTTAGCAGCAGTTTCCTCAAGAACTTGACCATGTTTTCAGTAATGCAATCTACTTCTGTTCTCATTTTTAGGACTTAATCCTATGAATATTTATGTATATGAATTAGTTTACGTAAGTGATTAGTGTCATCAGAATCAAGGGGCTTCCTTGTCTGTGAAGTTATTCGCGTGAGTTTGCCAGATCAAAGCCTTCCTTTCCTTAAAGTTATTTTAGAATGCTTTCTTTTCTTTAGCAAATCCTTATGCTTGTTCTCAGCCTATAGCTCACTGCCTTTTGATTTCATAAATAAAAATGTTTTAGCTGGAGGTGAGATATGGATGTTTATATAATTTATGGGATTCTGGTTGCATATGACAGAATTTATTGGGATATATATCACGCAGAAACTTATATCTATAATTTTATCATGCTTGTCCTTGTTGATATCATTGATAGACCTTACATCGACCTTAACAGCAACAAGCACATATTTTCAGATGATCTGGTGGCTAGTAGTATAGTATGTTATAGTAATACTGTAACTTTTTGAAAGTAAAAAGTTAGTATCTGAATTATGCAATACACAAAATTACTTGTTGCTGAAATTGTGGATATCCTGTGCTCCTAGTTACTACCAAATCAGATAAAGACTTCCACAGCTTGGAGAAGAGGCAGCACATTTCTGAATTGAATACTTCAGATGAAGCTGGTATCGTTTAAGCAGTTCATCTTACTTCCTTATGCCTAACTGTGCAGAAGTTGTGATTGTAAAAATTAGAATGCAGATGTTAGTTCAGAAGACAAAAGTTTCTGGAATAAAATTAGAGAGCTCCTTCTGCTAATTCCAAAATCATTTTTGTTTTGGAAAGTAAGCACAAACTTAGCCATTTTTCAATTAAGTCAGAGTAAGTACAGAAGTTACACTTCCGCAGTTTGGGAGGAAACGCGTAGGTGACCTTTAGATGCTGGTAGTTGACTCCTCCAGATTTCCAGATGTGACACTTCACTTTTCATGGAAGAATTTATCCCCCATGCATTTCATATTTACGTTGTAGTTGGCTGTGTGCTTATTTTTCAGTGGTTTAGTTACATTATAATTGGCTACGTGATGGTACAAGGTGTTTAACTTCAACCTGCCAGAGGCTTTGTCTGAAGCATATGGATAGGAGATTATGCCATCTTCTTTGGTTCTGGTCAAATGAGATAACACTGTTTGTTAGCAAGTCACGTTTGTTATCTTGCTGTAAAGTACATTTTTCTTGCAAAGGCAAACTTAAAACCAGTTTTGAGTAAGTAGAGGAAGTATAATATTTTTGCACTTAAGAAACGAGATTAGTGTCTTTTTGCAAAGATCTCAAAATCAGTCCTTTAGAATGGTGATTTTATGTTTTATGCAGCTGGAGACTAGGGTGAGTTTATTTGATTCATTTTATCATATGATTCAAGTCTTCCATTGAACTAAATCATAGTGCTCCCATACCCCTCAAATTGTCAAATAAAACAGCATCTGTTTATGATAATGATTATCTTAATTTAAGGAAAAATCCTTCTGTTCTAGCTTGCTCAGTACTTCTCTTCATTAATAGCCTCCTGGAAGACAGTAGAACTACTTACAAAGTAAAACACTATTTGTTGGAGGAATATTGGAATCCATCTTAACCTCTTATGTAACTTTTGTGAGAAGAATTACAAAAATTAAGCATGTAAGTTTGCATGATTCTAAGTGTGGTGTTTTTCCCCCATTTTCAGTAGAAAATAACTGTCTTGTCCATCAGTTTCAGCCAGGTCCCTGACTGCTCACAGGTCCAAAGTATAAACAGAAACTTTGCTGAAGGCCATTCAGGCTCCAGCAAGTTAACAGACTCATTTTTATTAACGTGGCAACTGAAGCGCCAAGGTCTAAGTGAAAATTGTAGGACTTGTTTGCCTGAAGTTAGGCAAGAAATTCACAGATAAGTACCTAAATAAAAAGCCTTTTCTGAGTGATGCTGAAAGCCCTCTTAGCTTGACCCTGAGCATGTCTGGTGAAAATCACGCTTACTAACATGTAAATAAGGATCTGAATTTGTAACTTCAGGCATTCAAATTTGAAAAGTTTGGTCTACCACTCTAATTTCTGCTTTTGATGCTGAGTTCATCACACCACACTGCTTAGTTGTTTTGTTTATTTGCTTGTTTTTAGATAATTACAGTTACAATTTTGACAAAAGCTCAGTAGAGAAGACCAAATGGAGATGTCAACTGTGTGAGCACGGGCTGTGGACAAGGAACATATGGTTGGGTATGTGCAAAATAACAAAAGGTTCTCTTTAGCCCAGTGAAAGGTGACAGAGCTAGAGAGAACAACCGCATGAGGAGAGGGGGAAAGAGGCCGGTACATCAACCTATAAATGAAATATGTCGTAGTTCTTTTAGAGCTCCAGATATAATATAAAAGATGCCCAAAACTCGTGTGTGTGTATATGTGCATCTGCATACTTCTCAAAATTTTTCAAATTATGTATCCTATCTTACAGAACTTAACTGTGCAGAGGGTATTTTTTTATGCCTCTTGTCAGAAAGGGCCTGCAGATGTCTTCTACGCAGTCTTCAGTGAGGCCAGCACGCTGTTTGGTGCTCATAGAAAACAACTAACTCGCTGCTTGCAGAAGAGTTGGCGTATTTGTTTAAATTTCTTAAATGTGTCTGAGTGATAACAGCAGCTGAGCAGCATTTGCCCTGTGTAAATTTCTTTGAGTGCAATAGAGCTTTTTTTTTTTCTTTTAATGTACAAGAAAATGTGAAAACACTACAATAAAATAATATTTACAAACTCTACCCAGGGTCGCTCAGCTATCCACCTAACACTTATGATACATTCAGAGAAAGACATGAGAACAGACAAAAGACGTTATCCAGGGAAATTATGATAAACAAAAGTGTTTTTTATTTTTCGTTGTTTGTTCTCTATCATTGCATAATTTCCACAGTCTTAAAATATAATTGTAACCTTACTGTTTGGTCTGTATTTTGAAACTCTACATAGGTTGAATAATTGTCTACGTACCGGACTGTCTGTGACTGTTTAACAGGTACACATAATCATGTCTATTCTCTTTTAAGTAAGCTTCTTTCGAACTTAACCAGGTTAACTGTGTTTCAGCCTTCAATGCTGCAGTGAAAATGTACTTCCTGAAATCTGGTTTGCTTGCAGATAGAGGCTGACACAGTAGATTTAGTATAGCTGCAGTATTAATGTTCGAAACTCCCATGCTGCACAGTCGTTCCCCCCACCGTGCTACATAAAAATGCTGTGCAGTTTCTCACTCCAAGGCTCCTCTGTTAGGGCAGTAGCTGACTTTACACCTTCTGCTGGGCTAATGTTTTCATTTGTATACAATGCAGCTTTACACAGTCACCCAAATTACTATTTATTGCAAAATAAGTATGGTAAATTTATAGTTTTTACACAGTATTGACTTAACATTAATTTTCAAATGGTGACAGTCAAGGAATATAAATCTGGGAGAAGACTGGCCAGATGAAAGACATAAAATGACAAAAGAAATGTGTTACTACAGTATAACTTGTGTTCATATGTATTTTTGACCAGCTATGAGAAAACATAAAGGAGAAAGTTTCTGAAATTATAAAATTCGCAGCATGGATTTATGTACATACTGTGTTATTATTTTTGTATGTCTCCTGTCACAATGTTTGGTTGACTCAATTTCATGTGGGTAGCTTTTCCACATTTTCAGTATTTCTTGAGGAGGTTGTAACGGCTTCAGAATGTGCTAACAAGTTTTTGGATGGAGGTTTATAAGTTATGTTTCAAAAGGTGATGGAAGAAGATGTGGATTTCTTTGAAGGCCTGAACTACAGAACCCTAATGTTTTAGATGGCACTGAGTTTTGGGTCAAGAACAAAATGGACCAAAGCAGAGTTCAGATTTCTTTGATCTTTCCTTCTGTTCATACATGGATAGGACTGTGTGTTTTTACAGTCCTTTTTAGCAACCAGCTACGTTTTCTGGACTCCTGTCTGTTCTTCTGTCCTGATTTAGGAATTGCTTCTCTCCTTCATATCCAGCCTCTAGTGCTCCCTCCCCTTTGCTAAAATCTCAGCCTGTGTTTCTTATGAGGTAGGCAGTGGAGGATAAGGAGCAGTGCAAAATTCTCCTTGGTTCTGCTACCACAACCCCCAAAGGGAAAGCAGTCTCCCACAGCCAGCAGAGTTCGGGAGGAGGAAATCACATAAATGTTCTTCATAAAAGAGAGAAAATAGGTATAGGCAATATTTTAAATTGAAATATAATGAAATTATTATTTATAGCCCAGTTTCTACCTTACATCCAGAATCTGTCATTTAGGTGATTGGGCTAGCAGGTGGCAAATATAATTGAATTCAAGAAAATAAATAAGGAAGTAGACTGGGGATTGTTGACTAAAAAGGAGTCATCTAGTGTACTAATTAGGAGGATTTATAGGATGCTGTACTTAGAAATAGATGATTATTGATAGCTCATCTTAATCACGCATGTTATCTTGTAGTTTCAGTTTTCCTATGACCAGTATTACCACTGCGGTCAGACGTGTGATTACAACACGTGTTGTAAACTAACCTGGTGATAGTCCACCTGGCGTGGATGCCAGTGCCTTAAACCATGAGGGCAGGGGCTGCTGGAGCTGCACTGCTATTGACTTTAAAATATGTAGCCTGAATACCTACATGCATTCTGTTGCTCTTCTTACTACAGTGTAGGCAGACATACATTTAGAGAAGCAAGAACTGTATCTGGTGCTGTGTTAGCAATGACCAGAATACAAAGCAAAAGACCCACTGCATTAGACGCTTTGATTTTTCGTCTGTACATTTTATGTAAGACTGCACAGAAACAGCGTTACTGATCTAGAGAGGATATAGCAGAAGGTAAGGTATCTATCTTTGGCCTAGGTAAAAAGGGAAATGGAGTTGGACTTTTTAGTTAATTAAAATGGAATGTGTAAAAATTATAGGACAATAGAAATTTAAGAGAGAAATTGCTTTTGCAATTCTTATATGTCTAAGTAGCAATCTGAAGATGTGTTAAGTGGAGATCTAAGTAGAAGTTAAACTAAACTACTCATCAGTGGAAACTGCTGAAGTGGCAGTTAAATCTCTTCCCACTCCCACCCCCTTTTTTTTTTTTTGAAGGAAATAGTGGTGATAGCCCAGTGGAGACAACCCTGGCATTTAGGTCAGTATCATCTCTCATTATAGCTAGTTTTAATGTTCAAAGCTATGTCAGTTATTGGCGAGCTCAACGTGGCAGCCATGCCTGCATTGCACATTCCGGTATGCTCTTATCTAATTCATTTCTTTGTACTGCATTTTGGAATATTTTGAATATGAAGTATATCAGAAAAGCAGAGTTGTTTTGTTCTAAATTGAAAACTCCAGCAGAACTGTTCCTCACAGAAACTAACAAACATCTAGAGTGAAATACCCTGAAGAAGATTGCAGCTGAGAGATTGCAAATATTATTTTCAGAGACTTTTGAGATTTCCTTCTGAAAGAGGATAGCGTTAAGGGATATGCTGAAAATGTAGAAGGGGAGCAATAGCAACAACAACAAGATAAATTTGGCTAGCCAGCCTTTTTTGCTATTTCATGTCTAACATTCATTTTGGAGCTATAACATCCATCTTGAGTTGCATCAAGTTGAGGCTGGTTTATTTTATTTTTTTATGCCTGTTAGAATGGAGTTGATTGACAAAGATTTGGTCTATTCTGTACTGTCACCTAATATTTCTGTTACTATGTCTGCATTATTTCAACCAACAAAATACATTTTTTTTTAACAAGTCGAGAAAAAATAAGCAAAGGTTTTAGAATAAAGTAAATCACTTTATATTCGCTTTCAGGCATTCAGTGGTTTTATAGAATTTCTTTATTGCAAGTACCTCCAAATGATTTATAGCAAATAAAATACAATGGTAAAGCAAAATATTTAGTTTATTAAAATTTAGATTGAAAGGAAATTCGAAGGAGATCATTTGACATGTTGAACGGTTATGATTCAAGCCTTTCTTATGCCCAACAACAAATAAATCCATGGACAAAGGGTATGAAAACCATGCACTTCAGTGGTGAGGCAAATGCTCATTAGGCACTATGGAATCAGGTTTTTCTTTTTTCTTTTTTTTTTTCTTACTGAAAACTTGTACTCTGAATTTGACAAAGCTGCTCTGAGCCGGGGCTTGTACCACCTCAGGAGACAAGATTTTATATGATTTGATGGGAACCAATAGAGCTAGAGATGCCCCAATCTATTTGGCATTCCTCAGTCGCCTCAGGAAGCTTGCCACTTCACTACTGGAACTTCCCTCTGGGTGCAGACTTTGTCCCTAAAAAGTAACTTGTAAAAATAATACATTGCAAAATGATTGAGACTTTGTGTATTGTACATGTGAGTGATACAAATTTAGAATTTAGTGCTTGTGCTTGGATTGAATGCAGGCGAAGGATATTATGTAAGAATCTTTACAGCTGCATTCGTGCATTTGCCTGAGTTACTTTAGTGGTGGAGAGGAGAGGAAGAATTCTAAACGTGTCACCCTGGTTTTACAAATCTGCAGAGATCCCCAAAGTGATCTAATCCTTCTGCATTATGTAGTAAATACCACTCTAAATTTGTTATGTACAAATGCCTGCCTGTGTGCACTCCCTCTATCTACATATCTAATCTGTAGATCTTTATGTCTAGATGTGTGCATACACTTGTTGGACTTAAGTCACAAAATGCTAAGAGTAATTGTATGTGCGTAATGAGTGTTTATGTATGCATGGAAGATACAGAGGAATTCACAGTTATTTTTCATTTTGAAATAATGCAAATAACGAATAATGCTTGAGCTAATAAACACACTTTTTTGTTGTGGGTTTTTTTTTTTTTCAGTTTATCATGCTAACTATTACGTGGCACTTGAAAGTTGATTGAAGAATAAGAGTGTAATGATAAATAGGGAAAGCCTGGCCATCTTATTTTCATTGTGACCAGTTTTTTACTGGATTGTTGAAGTAGATCTGTCTTTATTTGCATTCAGATATAAATATTCCCAAAATTAATTCAGTGTAAAAAGTAAGGGTTGCAATTGTTATGAAAAGTGATTGCTATTTTCCAGTACTCTGTGATGTTAATCAATATGGATTTTGATCTCAACGCCAATTACTGTGCTAATCATCAGTATATATCTTTTTTAATTTTTAGCTGCCTTTCTTTAATGATGTTGGTGGGCCTACTAACCTTTCCTTTGTAAGAGTGACTGCCAGTTATCTTTTTTCTTTCTTTTTCGATGTGTACGTTCTTAGTAGAGCTTTCTTGGGCTACGTCCACGGAGACAAATAACCGCAGTTTCTGTCCTAGACTGTTCTGCAAGTAAGCCATTTCAGCATGTGTATAGGCTCAAGTCCAGCACACGTACAAGCAGCAGGGTGGAGGGCCATGGCTCTAGTTTAGCAAATAAGAATGCACCTTTGGCTGTGCTCAGTTACCACAGATGAATTGAAACGCAGAACCTGAGCATCTTTGCCCCACTGAATGGGGATGACGGTAACTGATGTATTGGTGGGGTTTGTTTTGTTTTGCTTTGTTTGTTTTTTCTCATGCAGCCCAGCTAGGAGGAGACCTCAGGTTTGAAACACAGTATCCCACTGTGACAGGACAAAAGACCATAGCCTGTACCAAAATGAAATGTAGTTCCAAATTCAGCATTTTAGAAGGAAAGTTATGGAAGAGATTCTGTTCTAGTCTGCATTCATAACTGTGTAAACATATTGTTAGAATTCAGCGGCTAAAATCTCAGATGAGTCTGTGCTTCCTGAGCTTGGTCCGGGCGTTGCAGTTCCCTACTGTAGTTCAGCTGGGCAGCGTACCTTCCCAGGCAATAGAGCTGGAACTAGGCTTTACCTTTAATGATGCTTGTATGTTGACAGCCCAAGTAGTAATTGAATGTTGAAAAGCATGGCTTTATATAACTTATCCTTCATTGCCAAAGAACTCCATGGTAGAGGTAATGATAGTATTCAGTTCCCTGGAAAGTATTCATTA